ACCAGCAAGCATAGGCAAAAAGGAAGTGGAAATTGATACAGAGGTCTTTCCCTTTGGCTTCATATTTCCATACTTTACAGAGAGTATGGATGGAGGGATGTGTGACCCAAGGCAATCTTAACTGACACTAAACGTAGCTATTTGTTTGTTAATGAATATGGGTGAGGCAAGCAGCCAGAGATTAAGTTTACAGATCTATTTCATTTTTCACTCGGCAAGAAGTTGGCTAAAAGGAATGTGGCTTGCCTTAAGAGGCTCATTACTGTGAGAGTGATAGCAAAGTTTGGTGACAGGGTACCTATGCGATTCTAAAGGCTTACCTACGCTGGATATATTAGCCTCCAGATAAATCATTTGTAAACTTGAACAAGTGCAGTTACAATGTTTATCTTGTAAGAGAGACCTCCATTGTAAATAAATACTAAACCCCTACATTCAAACACACAACTTTCTGAAAAGTTATTTTTTTAAGTTCAAAAGTTATAGTCTGGTTTCTATACAAAACAAATAATTTTCCTTGCAAAACTTGATCAACAATGCAGTTTACATTATTTGGCAGCAAGGAAAATGAAGAACGGGATTTTTTTTTTTTTACAAGTTTTTCTTTAAAAACAAACAAACAAACAAACAAACAACAAACAAACAAACAACAAACAAACAACACCCTCCAACAATCCTTCCCTTCTCCCCAAACCCAACGTTGTGTTCATGAAACAAACAAACAAACTAAAGAAACCCTAGAGGCTGACAGTGTTTGCCTTAATGCCTCATTCCTCTAAGAATCTGATTTGTCTGGGAATGTGTTATATAAGCTTAACCAATTACATAAATAGACTGCTACATCTGACTGCTGCATACAGACCAAGCTGCAGCAGTAACTGGGGGTTATTTTTGAGGTCCCAGAGTAGGTAAGGCTCCTCCCTCTCTGCCAATTAGTACCATCTCTGTTGAAAATGTTCCTTGACATAGCAAAACCTAAGAATTCTCTAGGTGACTTTCCAGTATCTAAAGGCAATTTCCACGAGCTTTATTTCATATCCTCAAGCTTCAGAAAAAAATGTTACATGGATAAAATGTTTGTGTTTCCCTCTGGAATACTAATCCACATATAGACTTCTTGAGAGACCAGAGAACTGAAACAGACTGTGCACCATCATTTCTGTTTGAACTTCAAAACAAAAGACTTGTACCCTGTCCAAAGTATGTCTTCCTCCATGGACCAGATTCCATCATTTCAGTGATGAGAGAGGCTACTTCAGTTCTTGAAACTAAGGAATCAACTGCCCTCCCATATATAGATGGCATGTGCAAAGTGGGTTTTCCCCACAGTACTACTGCTGGCTGTGGGGTAAAGTAAATGGAATAGAGAGGGAAGGTCTGCCAGGTCTTTTCCTGTAAGCCACAATCTATACAACACAGGAGTTGCCATTTTATATTAGTGGATGGAACAGAGGCCACACTTAGCTTGACAGATCTCTTGGAAACTTAACTGAGTTTCTAGTACTTAAGAAACTAATCCAATTTATATATATGAGCCACTTGCATGTAAGAGAATATTGGTTGTACCACTAAAGTAGGGCTACTGCAGCTTTCCTCTCTGACAGATCTTGTTGCCAGTGTTGGTTTACTTTAGTGTTCTTTGGAAAAGGATGAGCTCATCCCTAGGACAGCATGGATACTGAATTCTAATACTGAATCCTCCTGATTTTCTCAAGCAAGCATTTTCTGAGGTTGTTTCACACCCAGATGAGGATCCATTCTGAAGTACCCATCAGAGGGTACTTCAGAATCTGACCAGATTCAGGAAACCTCAAAAAGAAGAAAACCTTTTGAGGCCACACTCTTTTGCAGGGTATCCTCTCTTTGGTCTTCCAATTCACCTAATGTGTAACCTCATTTGGGGGAGCAGCAGCTTCCCATTAAAAGACCTGCCAAGATAAAGTAGCTTAAAGATTACTTTATTGGAAGGAGAAGCTGTTTCCCTTGCCAAAAGGCTAGTGACTACTTTGCCTCTACACTTCCCCTAAGACCTTACCAACAAAATACTTGGAAAGATGTAATTTAGCCTGTAATGCAATTCCATCAAGTAGTTGCCCACAGAACAAATATTTAGAAGGTCTGAATGAACAGCAAGTCAGAGTCTGAGAAGTATCAGTCTTGAAAAACTTCCAGGGAAATAGTTTAAAAAGCAAATGTTGTCAAGGGGTTCTCCCTGCCTCTCCCCACCCCCCACCCTTTTTTTTTTCTTTTCTGATATGCTCACAACAGCCTACCTAGTAAATATATCCACTATCAGAGACAGCACACCCAATACTCTTAGGGCTGAGACTGCTATACCTGAAGTCTAGTTTGAGTGATATGACTTTGTCTGGGCAGGAGTACACCTCCAGCAGAATGACTATCCCCTTTACTAAGGAAGCCTTGGCAGCAAAATCTAAGGGAGAATAATAAAAAACCCATAGGTCCTGTGATACACTACCTCTTACTCATACTCCCACAAACCAGAACCAAACAATTAATTTTCCAAGTTTTTCTTTCTTTAGTGTTTTTTTGGGCAACCTGATCAACTGGTTGATCAGGGAGCCTGTGACAGTCTCTCTCGGTCTGCGGGGAATGAAATCGACTGTCATAGGCTCCATGATTGGGAATAGTGGGACACACATGGGGAGCAGCAGCGACAGAGTCCAGGAGTGGCAGGACATAAGAGCGGCAGGACGCATGTGGCTGAGCTGAGCCATGCCCTCTGCCACTGGAGCTGGGTGAGTGGGATGATCCCCCTCTGCACTCCCTGCCACTGGTTGAGTGGGGGCCCAGTCAGGCCAGGTCAGACCCCTGATGGCTTGGGGCACAGCAGCAGCCCCCTCACACAGCAGCACCCACCTCGCCCCGCACACAGACTGGGGGGGGGCACGTGCCCTCCAGCCCTCTGCCAGGAGCCCACCCGCACACCTGGACAAGCCACCCAAGCTCTGATTCTCCCCCAGCCCGACCCACCTGCCTGGTCAGGGCCCCACTCACCCCTGCCCCACTCCCTCCTTCACTGTGGGGGCCTCGATCTGCCCCCAGGACCCCCCAGACTGACCTGCTGGGCAGGGTGGTGGGGTGTGGGAGGTGCAGTAGATCCTTTCTTGCCCTTTACTTCAAAAAGTGATCTTCACTTTAAAGAAGTTGAAGACCACTGGGATAAATTAACCAGAGCCACTGAACACAAATGCTTCATCTGCATTAGAAGGGCTGCAGGATGTGTCATCTTTTATGGCAGAGAAAGACTTGAGGGGTGCTTTCCAGTTCTCACTCATTTCTGCATGGATCTTGCCTTCATATTGACTAGGAGCTGGTGTTTCTTCTTTCAGTTCCAGGGATGACCTCACCTTCCTGAGTGATTTAGTTAAACTTCCCTGAGTTTTCTAGAAGCTGTGGAAATATGGGTCCTATGTATAAGTGTATGCTGGGAGGAAGGAGAGTGAGAATGGGAAAGGAGAGGGCTTTAGAGCCATATAACTTATTCTGACTCAGTGAAGGGAACTTCTGTCAGTCTGTTCAGTCTTAGTATTGGTCAGGCAGGAGTTATTTTGAATTCAGCCTGCTGTCTGCCTGCCGTTTCTGAGGGGGAACACAAGGAAGCAAAATGGCATCCTTCCAAATCTCCCACAAAGTCAAATAAAAACAAAGACATGGAGCCCTATCAGTTTTGAAGGGAAAACCACAAAGCCAATGAAGAAAAAAGTAGTTAGTTAAATATCTCCTGAAAGTTTGTGAAACTGCTACAAAGGTTGGCCTGCAGTCTGCCATATGGAGTCAAAGAATTCTAGGAGTTCTACCACCTAAGAAAGTGATGGCACCCTGGGGTGCTGTGAAATTTTTGTAAGACTGTTGTGCAATATTCGCAATGTAAGGTGTGCAAACAAGTACACATGATTCACAAGATAAACCCAGAGATTAAGTCCTATTTCAAACAGGAATCCATGGTGTCAAAAACATTCTGACCTGCTGTGGTCTTTCTGAGTCCACTGCAAAAAAAAAGGATTGCTCTATTATTTTTCTGTAGTAGAAAGCCAAGATGTGACATTGTCCAAGGGGTCCCTGGAGTCTAAAAAGGTTGAGGACCACTGGTCTAAGAGAGGGCCAAAAACCCAAGCTATGAGGATCTGGTCTGTCTGCTCTGCCATGGCAAGGGAATTCCAGTGCACAGACTGATATACAGGGGACTGAAATTGCTGTCTACTCCTATATTCTCTAGCACTGAAGACAAAAAGACTAGAAAAGCTGATGGTTATGGAAGTGGTCTTCTCAAAGAGACTATCCTAGTAACAACTGTTTTGAATTTGGACAGCCTAAACTAGGTAAAATGGTTCACTGGTGTGAAATCTAAGAAAATTCATTAAGTGTTTTACAGAATCAACTTCCAGGTTTGGTGGTGAAAACATAGGATTGTGTGTGTTTAAAATCTGGCTATCATTATATTCAGTAAATTAGAAGGGTGAAAGCATTCCTTTCTTGTTTGGGAGGACCTAACTATACTGGGTGTTGAGATGAAAATTTAATTTTTGGTGATGAGATTTTATTCCCCAGATTGTATATAGCAAAGCTGCCAGAGACAAGGATTTTTGTGGGAGATAGCCCTTCCTCAGGACTCTGGCAGAGAAGCAAAAACAGCAGAAATAAACAGCAGATGTAACACCTGTAAAACTCCATATGTAATTAAAAACGGGATACAAGAGAAATCATGGCAAACAGTGGCAAAGCTGTTTTTCTTAGGGTTAGCCAGTCAGCCCTCTTACTCCTGGCATAACTCTTCACCCTTTATTTCTGAAACCTGATAAAGTTTCTAAGCTTTAAGAATCTGAATTCTATTACAGAGATGGCTGGGTTGTCAAAACATTCACCTGTGTAAGGCTCATAGCCTCCTTCTACCTCTATTTTAAAGTATATAAATGGAATGCCACTTTATAGGTGTTTCTCCAAGATCAGAAGACAAAACCCATAGTTGTGTAGGTTACCTGGATCTGGGCTCTGTTTCCAGCTGTTATGTTAGATATTGTCCAACATGCCTCCTTTTTAATAGATTCCTTTGGGCTGCTTAACAAATGCAGTAAACTCTGGAGGGCTGAACAATTCAAAATTACCTAGGGGAAAGGGTATAGAAAACATGTTAGATTATGCCCAGAATAATCAGCAGGGGAAAGGAGAGAGAAAGCAGCAGAAACATTCACCTATGCTGATGTGCTGTGACAACCCGTTCACTCCAGCTTTGTGGGCTGCACCATAGGCTGGAGGTTATGCATCCCTGAAGTAGACCATAAGCTTAATATAAGCCAATGGTGTGCTCTTGTTGCAAAAAAAGCCAACAGCATTCTGGGTTGTACTAGTGGAAGCAGCACTTGCAAATCAAGGGCAGTAATTCTTCCACTCTATTTAGCAGTGGTGAAGCCTCACCTGTGGTACTGTATCTAGTTTTTCACCCCACACTTCAAAGAGGTTGTAAACAGCTTGGAAAGAGCCCAGCACATAGCAAAGATGACTAGGGGGGCTGGGAGGCAAGACTTATGAGGAAAGACTGAAAGAACTAGGATTATTTAGTTTGGAGGAGAGAAAGCTGAAGGGGGATTTGATCACCCTGAAGGATGATTACAGAAGGGACAGAGATGGGCTTTTCTCTGTAACTGTAGGGGACAGGTGTAAGAGCACAGGCCTCAAACTACAGCACGGGAAATTTAGGTTGGAGATCAGGAGGAACTTTCTGAGTATGAGGGTGGGTCAAACACTGGAACAGGTTACTTAGAGAAATTGTGGTATCTCCATTACTGGAAGTTTTTAAGAGCAGGTTAGAGAGAGACTTGACTGGGATGGTTTAGTCAGGGATGATCCTGCCTAGATGATCTTGCCAGGTCCCTTCCAGCACTACTTTCATATGATGCTTTAACTGAAATTTCTGGGAAATTTGCATGATATTTAGTGACTTGGAATATACAAGGAGTTCAAATGAGATGGACTACTTCCCCTTTTGACCTTAATTTCTACGAAACTAAGGAATCATGTATATCAAACCTGATCTCAAAATAATTTTATGGCAAATTTACATGCCATCGAAACAAGTGATAAAGCACATGGTGCTAATGTAGCTCTCAGCAACAGAACATAAAAAACAAGATTAGAAAATGTATACAAACAATCTCACTCATAATGAAGAATATAAGCAGAGAACATCTAGTTGTTATTCACCAATCTTCTTACCCAATATGAATCTAACAGGGTTAAAGGTGATATTACAAAAGAAATAGTCCCATGCATAATAACATAAGGTCAGTGTTAACAAACTAAACTCTGGGCTAGGAACCTGAGTTGCAACTTTGCAAAGATTAGAAAGTAAATATTAATATTTCAATGAGGCCAGGACTATAAAAACTTCCAAGCAGCTGGGGGCTGCACACCACATGGGCCACACCAGTAAGGTCTGCACACAGCACATGCAATTCCTGCTGCACTGTTCCACCAAGACGCCGGGGCCTCCATCTTCAGCCCCCCAGCTGAACCACATTGCCATGGGCTCCTGGGGCAGGGACAGGAAATGGAAATCCATAGGAGATGCCTTGAGCCCCTGGTTGCTGCTGCAATGTGGGGAGGAGCAGCCAGGTGGGAGCTCCCCACACCCCCTACAAATTAACCCCTTGCAGGGTGCATGCAGTTGGACAATCTGAACTAGGCTATAGAGGTAAGAAGGCCACAGCATAAAGCCAGTACAAGATTCAGCATAATAGCTAGCCTTTGCTTGGGACAGAATCAGAAAAGGAATACTCGCAAGTGTTGAATGTCAAGATTGAATAGTATCAGCATGACTGCAGAAATTCATCCTGGGAGCTGTAGGGCAGGACTGAAGTGAACCATGAGAGTGACGTGCTCGGCTACAACCAATGACACCACTCTCATGTGGGTGAGAACCAGAAAATACAATGGTGTAATAAGCAAAACAAAAAAGCAATTTAGAGGTTTATGAATTCTCTCATTAACCAAAAAGGCAAACAGAATTACAACCCAAAAACAATGGAGTCTATACCTGGGTCTGGATGTCATCCCCAGTCACAATGTTCCCAACTGCTCGTAAGGCAGGAGACACCACTTTGTAATCACTGTGCCTAAAAAATACAAGGAAAGAGGTAACAGCCCAAGACAATTTTGCAGCCCCATCATTTCAATCAGGACTTACACCAAGACTCCTTACTGGCCAAAGGAGAGTTTCCTCAACAAGATAGACTGACACAACTGAAGTCATAAAAGGCATCTCTAAGTTTGGATTTGAAACTATGGGTACTTCTTTTTAGGATCCTCTAGGGGCTTTTTAATGTTTTAGATTTGATGAACAGTTTTTGTGGCTTTTTGCTTTACTTTTTGTGCACTGTTTTTCTCTTTTCCAGAGCTGAGAAATCCACTGCATGGTAAGATAACTTACTGACTATATAATGGAATCAATAAAACTGACTACAAATTAACTTCTGCCAAATAAAGAAAATAAACTAAGAAAAAATAAAAGAAAAATCCTTAATTTTCTGTTATAAAAAAACAAGACTCTTACAAGTTTCTCCTATTACAGAAAAAATTGGTCATCAGATTTAATTTAACCACACACCCTTAAAATGAAGCTGTGGTTTTGAAAATGAAAAAACCAAATTCTTTTCCATAGGAAAAGTATTCCTCCAACTTCGACTCCTGACAAATTCCTTCAAGCAAACAAAACACACCTCTCATGGCTGTTATTTTGTTGCTAACAGCTGACAAGCCAAGTGTTCTTCCTCTAACAAAATTTACCTTAAAATAAAAGGGATTCACAGGGATGGACCGAAACAGTTAATTTCTCATAGCAATTTGACAATTGGCCATATATTCTCTTTTATAAATATTTGAAAGCGAGTCCATCACTAGAAAATGGCAATGTGGCTCTTAACACAAAAGGGAAAATTCTAGTAAATATAAAAATCATCACAATGATTACAGAGCAAGTTTCACTGATGTTGAGAAATCTGTATTATCTCTAAGATAAAATTTAACTAGCAAGAGATCACATTTCCTATATTTGTAACCAATCAATAACAGAATTTTATTAAAAATCAAAACGGGATAAAGCAGTGATAGTGTTTCCTCCAATGATGAGAAAACAGATAACTTCAAAAAAGAGAGAGAGTATTTTTCAATAATTTTCTGTGTTTTTCCTTTTTTTTTTTTTTTTTTTTTTAAGTAAATGA